GTCTCAAAAAAAAAAAAAAAAAAAGAAAAGAAAAGAAAAGAGGACGATGGCTTGCATGTGTTGCCAATGGAGACAGAGGCTAGTGCTGAACTGGCTGAGTGGATGGCCAGTGAGTATCCCTGCTATGCTCAGAGCCAAGGAAGACAAATCCAGGTCACCACAGTTCAAAAAGGGCCTCTTTGGAGATGAAGTCCTAGGATAAAATAGCCAATGGGGATGAGCAGAGACCAAGCAACCAAAGAAGATGATTATCTGGGTCCAAGAGACTAGTAGTCACCTTGCAAGTTTCTACAGCAACAACTTCCCTGACTTTGAGTCTGAGGAGTATTGGAGTCCATTTCTGGGGTGCCTCCTGTGCCCTCTCAAACCAGTTCCTCGCTTCTAGAAGAATCGAGAGTGTGTGTCTCAATCAGTGTGTGTGCATGTGCACATGTGAGTGTGTGTGTATCAGCATCAGGAAAGTGATTCTGATGAACCTGGTGTGTGTGGTGGTTGCCCTCCTCTTATAGATGACTGAGTGTTCCATCTCCCCCCACCCCAATTTTTCCTATTATTCTCTCCAGAAGAGAGTGTGCTGGGTGTGTCTGGACAATTAGAGGTCAGAGCTGGGGATGAGATTGCTGGGACCTGGGTGCCTTGGAAGCCAGCTTTCATGACAGTTGGAAGGTGATGTTCAGCCAGAGAACCCGGTAGAGGTGCCTAAGGAACTGACAATGGCCAGCAGCTGGGGCCCTAGGCTCCCTGGAATCTGCAGTTCCTTTCCTTGCTATGATCACTGCCTGCAGATCTCTCAACTTGAACTATATTCAGTCAGCCAGCCTCAGTCTCAGGCTTTGGAACGCTTGAGCTCCCAGGTTTGGGTGAAGAAATGGGATTTGTGGATCACAGGCCAGCTGGTGCATCGTTGGGCTTTCTTGCCTTCATCCTGGTTTTCCTACAGAAACACTGGGCCAAACATTGGGGAGAAGATAAAAGAGATAGCCCAGCTACCCAACCCCATCCAGAGCATCTGCTTCCTATGAGAAACTGCCCCTTCAGGGTGCCAGAAAGAGGTGAGAGACAGAGACAGCAGACCGGACAGTGGCTGGCAAGTGGGGCCCAGGCCTGGCACAGGCCTTCCCTGACCTAATCTATCACACCTTCCATTCAGCTCAGGCACAGCGACTTGCCCAGGACAGAAACCACCACGTTGACCACAAGAGGTCCAGGGACTCTGGGATACTCAGAGTGAGAAGGGCACTGGCATTTGGAATGACCATGACTTTGGAAACTCACCTAGCACAGTGCCTGACATATGGGAAACCCTTAATAAATGGTGAAAGAGTTTTACTGAGACTGTTCAGGGGAGTGTGTGCTCATGGGAACACTGGTCTCCAAGGGTGTTTTTTGGTTTTCGTTTTTGTTTTTTGAGACAGAGTCTCACTCAGTTGCCCTGGGTTTGAGTGCCATGGCCTCATAGCTTACAGCAACCTCAAACTCTTGGGCTCAAGTGGTTCTCTTGCCTCAGCCTCCTGAGTAGCTGGGAGATACCTGCAACAGTGCCCAGCTATATTTTAGGGACAGGGTCTTGTTCTTGCTCAGGCTAGTCTTGAACTCCTGAGCTCAAGCAATCCGCTTGCCTTAGCTTCCCAGAGTGCTGGGATTACAGGTGTGAGGCACCTTGACTGGTCTACCATGGGTGGTTTTATAAGAGGGGAGGGGCTGGTTGGAAAGGGGTCAAAAGCAGGGGTCAGTTTTGCTGGGGACTGGGGCATGGAGGCCAGATTCAAGGCCTGAGTGTGTTGTCCCACTCATAGCTCCTGAGGGGGCTAAGGCAGCGTGGTGGTGGCCGTGTGTTAGGGGCTGTTGCAGGCTAGAGAAGGCAGGGCAGGGCCAGGCATGTCTGGGGCTCTGGCAGGGGATGAATATGCAGCAAGACAGACAAAAGGGCAGTCAGTCAGCAATAAAGGCCCTTTACCCACCTGCTAAGCATCTCTGTGTTTAATTCAATTCAATTCTACACCAGTGTATTGAGTGCCTTCTCTGTGCCAGGCACTGTTGTAGGATCTAGATATACAGAGAGGAAAGAAGTAAGGGCCTTTCTCTCAGGGAACCTACATTCTTTGGGTTAGGCACAATTACCAAGTCAATAAACTGATAAATAAAGTAAAATCAGATAGCAGTAAGTGCTACGAAGAAAATATAGTAAGGGAATGTTGTGACACAGAATGTTGTGTATACACATATATGTATGTGAGAGGTATGGCTTTAGGGAAGACCCTGGAGGAGATGACATTTGAGCTGAGACCCAGACAAGAAAGAAACAGTCCTAAGAAGATCTGAAGAAGGTGCATGCCAGAGTTGGCACTAGGAAATTTAAGTCCAGGAAAGAAGGTATTGGTAGTAGGGCTGGAACATGCATGTGTTCCTTCAGGGTTCCTGCTGGGGAGAGCCCCTCTCCACCCAGTTTCCTTGTCCCTCTTTGGCATACAAGACAGAGACACATTGAGCTACCCTGAGACAGACAGACATCAGGGGCAGACACAGAGCTGCACATATGCCCCAATCCTTTCCCTCCCAGCTCCACACCCCCTACCAGAGTCTTGCCACTAAGGCCCCCATGCTCCAATTAAGATGTTCTAACAGTGGGACAAAAGGGAGATGCAGACCAGGTAAGAGTTATTTTGGAGACACAAAAGCACATAAAATACAACCATATATTCCAAAAGAGACTGAGAAGATAGGAAGGGAAGGGGATTGCCATGTGCTAGAGTTCAGAGTTGGCTTCTGTTATTTTAGAGTCCCTTTTCCACTTTGGAGTGACCTGAGTATGTTTTTCAGTCCTTGAGGGGTCTGCATTCTGCAGGCCTGTCTGAGAGGGCCAAAGGGCACAAAGCACAGCTATATGGGAAAGGGGTCAGTGTGGGGGCATGAGGACCACAGCCAGGAGGAGAGTGGATGGGAGATGCGAATGGGATGGGGTAAGGAGGACAGAGACAGGGGAAAATGAGGGTACAGGTAAGACAGGTGGTGGCAGCCCAGCTCTGAACTCTGAAGTTTCTCCCTCCATTTTCTATACCCTGCCTCCTCAGCCTCCTGCCTTTTTAAAGTATGATGTTGGTATCTTAAAGAGGATTGCATTGAATCTGTAGATTAGGCTCGGTGCCTGTGGCTCAAGTGGCTAAGGCGCAAGCCACATACACCTAAGGTGGTGGGTTCGAATCCCCAGCCCGGGCCCGCCAAACAACAATGATGGCTGCAACCAAAAAATGGCTGGGCGTTGT